AAACATCAAGGATTGTTTTTCTTTTGCTATTGCAGCAAAAAAATTATCTTTTTTTCGTGCACAACGAATAAAACTTAATCAAATTAAATAAACGTCAAATAAACTTTTCTTGATATAAATTCCAATTTTAAGAACAACTAAAATAAGATAAAAATGTAACCATTTTATTGTTTTTATATGTAAGTAATAAATAAGTAAGCTTCTAATTATCAGTTTAATATTAATTTCATGAATTGATAACTTTTGAGAATGAATTATGATACGTTAATATAGGACATAATTTGAATTAGAAAAATATTGGTAAAGTAAGTTTGAAATAATAATCAATATGTTTGAGCATTTGTATTATTTAAATGATGCTTGTGATGATTGGCTGGTTGGTTTGGTTGGTTGGTAATGAATTGTGTTGTTTACAAAAGCGGAGAGTTGGGTCTTGAATGAAATGATTCAATTTTGCATTGAACGGAGTGCTTGTCCTTTGCTATTTTCTACTCATCCTCAATTCTCTGCAAGAAATTTATTAAAAATTTATGAATTTTTCAATTTTTTCCCTTTAAATGCTAACAATCATCATCGCTTGCAATGACACCACTTCAAAATTCCCTTCCTATCATTCATTACACTATATATGTATAATTAAACTTTCAAAAATATTGAAGAAATTTTTATTTTGTACAGTTTTTGCAGAAATAAATGATCAAATAAGCCATTCACTAATAACTGATAAGCTAGAGCGGTCGTTAATAGTAAAATTAGAAAGATAAGAAATGACGCAATACGATTAAATTCTTTGATCGTACATATCCATCAGATCTTTAAGTTCACTTTTCCACTATGCTTTCTATTGCAAATTAATTTAATTATAGGTGATTTCGATTCATTTATTCATATTTTTCATTACAGATTTGCTTTCATTTCTTCGAGATGAGTATTAATTACTTCATAGAAATAGTTTACTAATTTGTTTAACCTTTTTTGTTTAAAGTTAAATAATTTTCAGATTTTAATAACTTATTGTGTTTAAATTCATTTCTATCGTTCCTATCTCTCTCATTTTGTTTGCCATTTCTTTTCATTCTGTTTATAATCATGAATTCAATCGATTAATTTAATACGAAGCTACACGAAACTGGATATGAAAAGTCCAGCTTAGCCTATTTATGAGGCCAGTTGTCAGTCACAATTTTGTTTATACCTCATAACCCTCCTAACCTTAATTTCCCGCAATTTTCTTTTTTTTTTTTTCAAATTTTTAAAACAACTTTTTTTTCTACGTTTAATAATTTAACACTATTTTTAGATAACTTCTGATAACTACAAAATATTTGTCTAAATTGCTTCCATAATACAATCAATTTTTTAAAATCGATTTTATTTTCATCAGTGATATCATTACTGAATGTAATTGAATGGTATCTAGAAATTTATTATTCCTCAAAAGCTTAAATTAAATGCCTAAAAAACAAGAAGTGAAACAATCATTCAATAAAAAAAACCATTCATTAATTTTTCAATTAATTCCACGACCAAAAAAGATATATTTTTAGGATAGTTTTTTTTTTTTTAATATATAATTTTAAAAGTTGTAAAAGAAAAAATTCTTTGGAAAAAAAATACGTGCAGCAAAATTGTTGCATTTCTATAACGGAGATAAATTTTCTTTTTCTTCCGGAAACCAAAATTTGTATTAGCATTGACCTATCAGTTTTATTTTTTATTCATTGCATTACAGATGTATGTTATAATACCTGCCTGTTCTACAAATTTTTCAAAAACTCATCATAAAATGTTATCTTGGGCTAAATAGCTATGCCAGTTACTGCTGATCTTAACCATGTCGCGGATTTTAGCATTGCGAAGCACTAAATGAATGTTAACAATGCTTAATATAGCAATCCATTGATATCTTTTACAATTCATCGTAATGGTTTAAGTGACCTTTGATCTTATATCAATTCATATACAATAAGCATCTACCACGTAATGTTTATTGCAACTCATAGTAGCCACTTATCATAATGTCTAGACAAGTCATTGTATTTTCTTTCGTGATACCCATTTTTAAACCTATTGTTAAAGTTACTTACTATCATCCTTTGTACAAGAATGTCTAATTATAAACCACTCCCACATTTTAACACATATAATGTAAGATAATTGCTATATAAGGATCACCCTTGTCAAAAGATTTAGTATATGTGTAATTTATCGCCAAGGACCGACGATTCCAATTTCAGTTGTTTTGTATCAACGTATTGTCTTATTACTTCTGCTAATAAAGAACTTGGATTATATTTCTGTTACTTCACGCATTTACATTTACATTTACATCCAAGACAATCTCCCTGCGATCAAACACCTCTCCCAATATTATTAATTAAATAATCAAAACCTTCCACGACAAGCCATTGTCTCGTTCTACCAAATTTTCTTCAAAACCAATGAATAATTTTTGTTGAGGAAAGGAAACACTGTTTATATTTCCAAGAGAAGGAAACGGTGTGATGCCTTCTTATTTTCTACATCATTTCTATCAATTTTTGAATTTGAGGTAAGGAGCATAAAAGTTGAATAAATTAAAATTTATACTTTTCGAACCATGGATTCATCCATTCATATCCGGATGCATTACTCTATACTAGGAAACCATTAAGAATTGATTGATGTTGTATCTCCTATGATTTCGAAGTCCAAAGCTTTCATGTTATAACATAGAGAAAACTTTAATTATAGAAGTTGTTAAATTAAAGAATTATTATTTCTATAGAGATTTCAGTCGTCTTCTCAACCAGATAAAAAGACAATATTTCCAAAAAAAAAGGAAGAGAAAAGTTGCTTTAAGATTGAAATGTCAAAGAGTTGCATACTCCTTTGAGCACTCAATGTACGTTTTGTAGAGAGCAAATGTAAGAGCAACACTTATTTGTTTTCATTGGCAATTTATAACGTTTTCCATAATTCGGAATTTGGTCTGATGCAGCGTCTCAGCTCATGGTTCGAACAATTGCCTTTGCGACGTCGTGGATCTTCTCGCTAACTACAGAATTTATAGCTTATAACTTACAATCTGCGTATTGTAAGCAGAAACATCATTTCACTTTCTAGAACTTAACTACAATGCGTTCTGTGTTATAACCTGAGATAGTCCAGTATCCTATTATGAATTCTTAGTTGTGAGACGAGTTAAATTAATAGAAATTATATGCAATCGCAATACTTATAACATTTTTATGTACTCAGTTACTTTATTTCAATTTCCTTCCATTGCAGCAATAATGCCTTTTCTTGGAACAAGCAAGAAATAGTAACTCACTCGTGTCACGACAATTCCAAGCTTGCCACATCTTTCTTAAAGTCATTCTCTACACCAACTAGTTCTGGGCGAAAAGTATCTTTGGATAGACCTCATTTATGAATAATGAGTAAAACCTATTGATCTCCTGGAACTAGCCTTGTATCTAACTTATAAAAGTTTATCAATTATACGTGGAATAATAGGCCAATAAATAGAACTGGAGTAATCCGACCTAGTCTCACTTAACCCGATTTAATTTCAAATAATTTCAACTGGACCGATTTTATCAGACAATTGCTTGCTGTTTCTTTCTCAGGCGCTAGTTTGTCTTTTCAATTTTTCACAGTGATTTTTCAGAATATACGTCAAATCCCTGGATTTCATATAGTCGCCCATTGGTTCAGACTATTGTTTATCACGGACCGAGATCCAATTATAAACTGATACACATGTCCATAGATCGTACGGCATCGTTTCGTATCAATAGTCTGGATGAGAGCATTTACAGTTCTGGTTATGGCAGTCAAGATAGCAGGTACAAAGCTTTTCATTTCCAACGCATTATTTTAAACTTCCTTTAAACAAAGCTTATATCTGTATTGTGGCATAAAACCGAAATATCAGGTAAAAATAATTTCCTCTACTTTCAAGTTCTTTAATTGTAAGCTAATATCTTACTCATTTTTTTGCAGTCCGGAGTCGGATTGGCAACTATCAAACACAACAGCAATGCGTGGTCGACTGGGTCAACTGGAGGATAAAGCGGTGGAATGCAATTCAATTGATATGGATGAAGCTTTGGGGCTAGATTTGGAAAGCAAATCGGAAGTAGAGGATCTCAAAACAATTGACGCTTGAGATCGGTTTTGTAAAGATGATGAATATGTATATTATGAACTAGAGGTATGCTTTTATATTCGGTTAGAAATACATTCTTCCACGAAATATGAGATATTGAATTGAGATATTGAGATATATTAGATATTGAACAGTGAATTCTACCAATGAAATTTTCACCAATTTCCTTTACCAATACAAATTTTAAAATGACAGACGTTTGTGACAGCATCGAGAGATAGATATGGATAAAAATTCTCTAGTTTTCTTGAAAAAAAAGTTGACTAGTTTATCAAAAAAAAAGACTTTATTTCTGAATAGTTCGCAGGACGACATACATTTAATCTAAAGTATCATCGAAATAAATTAAATCTCTAGATAATTCATTTCTAAAGCTCAATTTAAAATCGGCCATATAAATGGACAGATAAATTGTTATTCCATTTTGTTTATAAAGTTTAATTGTAATTCGAATTACTTTCTTCCTTTGAACATCTCTCCATACCATACATTTATCAATTAGTACCCTTGCATTGATAATGAGCATCTATGAATATTGTGAATTTTAATCTGACTCAATTCTACAGCAATCTGATCAATGAGTTGAACGAAACAATGACTATATAGAAATGGTATATTGTTAATGTGACAGGATTTGAAATGAACTGTTGATTTAATCAATTTCGATCTCATTGAAACCTTTAAAAATTCTACTGATTTTCAGTAAATGGAATCACAATATAGTCAGTTTTTTATCATTTCCACTTTTGATAGTTTAGTTGATTAATGCTAGTGCATTAATGCTGCTTTTTGCTTTTAGTTCTTGATTGTTAAAAAAAAAATACAAAATTTGAAAATTTGCAAAAAGTCAATCTTCATAAAAAACTTTGTCATCGACACAAATTTTTTGCTTTTTAATGCATTTAATTCTTTTTTTTGACCCATCTTCATTGATAAGCTTCATGCCAATATCAGCTGTTACTGCCACCTGCAAATGATATGGATTGTTCATATCAAACGGTTTCGCCATATCTATCACTAAATGTCCATCAGATAAATCGCACCTTCTCGAAAATCCACTCAAGAACAAAATGAGCAAGCAGAATTTTTGTGTGACAAAATTGTCAATAATTCGCAGCAATGAAACAGACACTTAGAAAAAAGTTATTTAATGATAGACTACATTTAATCCATTTTTGTCGGATAAGAAAATGGTAATTTTATTTGTATCATTTCCAGATTCTGCATTGGCCATCTGCAAAATATAAGAGAACAAAGAAAAAAGTAGGAAAAACAATTTATAAGCTAAAAAAAATGATAAAAGCTAATTATTGATGCACAAATAATCTTTTTAGCAAAAGGAAAAACTAGTCATCAGTTCACATTACCAATCATTACATTTTATATTGTCATGTGCACATAACATTTCGAAGAATTCATTATTCCGTAGAACTCACTGGCAGTGCCTTTGGCGAAATCATCTCTGTGCTAAAATCTAATTGGGTGCTTTCATCTGATGTATGAAAAATACGCCTTGGAGATTCAAATGATTTCGATTTAAGTGGCTTTGGTCCTGGTTTTTTCACTATCCTAAAATGTAACTTATCAAATTTAATTTCAAATTTTGACTAGAATATTCAAACTTATTGAAAACTTCTGAGGTGAAATTAAAAATCTTGCTTAAAAATTTCTTGAAAAACACTTATACATTTTTCTAATATTTGTTATTTGCTATAACTTCGTAACTTTTCCTTATCTTCATTTGATTTCAAAAAAGATACACATTCCTTTTCATAATTAAATTAGACTCATAATTAAATTAAACAATATCTAGTGTTTTGCAATCACACAAATATCTTTATAAAAAAAACATGATTTCTGGCAATCTTGGTGGTAGCTTCCTCCAGATATTAGCTGATTTGAGGCAGCAGATGTCATCCGGATATTCATGTGAGCGTAACAAACCTAAGAAATAAGGTCTCTTTTGAAATAATTGGTGATTTCAGAGATCAAGAAAAAAAAACATTTGGTGAAAATGAAAAAACTTTATACAATTAGGAAACAAAAGGGTAAAATAAGCAGAATGAAAATATAGCAGTCCTGATAATCATGAAGCAGAAATTACGCTATAAATTGAAGCACTTGTTGGAGGGCTTTCTAAGAGTAAAAAGTGTTTAAAAGCACTTATTTCTTACAGAATTAAAGAGCGATTCTAGAATGATTTGTACAATTGATACAAAAATACCATTTTTAGGTGAAGCAGCAATGTTTACTAGTGAAGCTTTACAAACACCAGTGGGTGGATTACTTTCATGAATGCCTTTATCTGAGCTAAAACAAAATCAATTTCGTATGTGTTGCTTGATTACTCTGAATACTAAGTTAATAACACATTCAGAAGAAATGTAAATTAAAACAGAGAAAAAGCAACCTGGAATCATGGTTCGCAGGCAGATATGGTGAATGATCTGCAATATCATTCAGAATAATATCGTTAGTGATAGCTTTTTTGATATTATTACAATTTCGTGGAATACTTACCATCTGATTCGCTACCACCACCAGCTGATGTGTCACTTAATCCTGCAAATTAATGAGATATCAAATGAGATTTTAAGATTTGAAATTTAGGATTCATAAAATTCATAGAAAAAAAATCACATTACAAAATTATTTTTGTCAAATCATTTGGTTCCTACAAGCACAAATTTGATGAATGAAATAGGATAGCAGTGAAAACAATGTGCAGTTGTTGTAAAATAATTTTATACCATCTTCTTTATAAAATTATTTTATACCATCTTCTTTATAAAATTATAATGAAAATGAAAAGAAGATGAAAACTGCTTTCGTAGATTGCTTTTTCTAATAATAGTTTCAAAATCTAAGGCTTGCATTATTAGTATTGTTGTTAATGCCAGCATCGTCGTCTCATTATAATATAGCTTTAAATGTCTATTGCTTTTCTGTTACTAAACAGTTCTCAGATCTTAAAATGCAGTAGATTTATGGGAATAAACATCTCTAACCGGATTTTGGAGGAGAATTGTCATTTCGCCTATCGCTTTTCAAATTTGCTTGTTGTGGTGCTGTGACTTTTAAATGTTCTGGTAGCTTCCATGATGGTGGAAAATAACTAAAAGTTTAGATGTAAGAAAATTAAGTGTGGACATTTCACTAAATTCGGTTTAATTACTCAATTTTGTTATTTCTTATATTTGGGGATAAAGAGATGGGTAATGACAAAAATCTGTAGTTTGACAATTGAAAGTGCGAAATAAGTTGCATTATAATTGCTTTCCTTCGATGAATTTAGATATGAAATTATGAATTTAAGTGCCTTCTTCTACTGAAATAGCATACCATCATTGACCAGAATTTGAAAAAAATTTAAAAATTTGATAAATATATCATAGCTTTACTCGTGAGCATTTTAAAAAATGAACTAACTAGGTCATATCGATGAAGAGATTAGTTAGAGAAAATTTCATGAATTAGTCATGAATTAGACATATTTTGATATGATATGATTTTGGAATTGAAAAGTTAGACCTGGAAAATAAAGATCCGGGATAGCTTTCACAAATATCAGTGCTGTAATCACGCATTTCATGCCATGCATATGATTTGTCCAGAAAAATATAGAAATTTAAACATTCTGAATTTTTTTTATGTCCTCATTTATAATTGTAAATATTTATATAGAAAATTTCTGAAGAATATAATGAGTTATCATACATATTATAGTTCATTTAAAATTCTAGAATTAGGCTATAACTAAAACCTTTAATTTCGTCACTGCTAATAAATCCAAAATAGTTTCAATGGTTAATAATCCTTCACCATAACCAACTAATTGTTTGAAGTCGCAATTTTTAGTTTCAGCTGATTTCATGTCTTTTTTGTTGTGGTGACCATTAGAGGTTGCAATTAATTTCTGATAAGTATATATTTCCAGTAATGCTATGTTGCATTTTCATTATAGTAATTTTAAAGTAATTCTGCGTATACGAAATAGTTTGAATGGAAATAATTTTTCACCTTCTCATTCATCGATATGTATCATTTCTCTTTTAAGAGTTAAAACTAAAATCAAATTAGAAATGTCCAAGTTTTGAAAAGTCAAGAGAAATAAAGTAAGTATAAATGGAGTGAGAGCAGAAAGCATTCCGGTAAGGCAAGAAACAGTAAGCGATTTTACTTGATAATTTTATAATGTTTTCATCTGCGTCTGAAAAGACTTACTTTATTTGGCTCTTTGCTACTCTCCTTGCATCTTAATTCGATCAAATCAATCATTTTGTAATTCGCGTCTTTTGCTAGTATTGTCCTATTATAGCATTTTGCATAAGTTGGATCACAAAATTTCTGGATCGCTTTTGTTTTCCTTGTCTTTCTCGTAGTACTGGTAGCTTCCGGTACTAAAGCTAACGGTGCTGTATAATAAATTACTAAAATCAGATCAGTTTCTTCATTCAGTCTGCAACTTTGTGACGGTCCAAATCTTGTGCTCATTTACATTTCATTAAAAATATTTCATAAAAAAGACTCTTCTGTTCATTTGTCTAAATGCATTCGTCTCTTCTAAGCAGTATTTTTGGAAATCCGCAGAAGTGAAAGATATAAACAAACCATTTTATGTAAAAACTGATTTTTTTTTTTTTTTTTTTAAAAAAAAGGGAAGCAATTTTATAATAAAATATAGAATACCTCTATTGATATTGACATTATCACTATCATAAATTCGAGTTTCTTCGTGCACAATGTTCATAGCGATATTTTTATCTTCCGGCATAATCTTCATCATTCTAATCAGGAGTAAATATCCATCAGAAGCATATAAAGTTAACTTACATTTTGGTCGATTGTATTTTTTATCACTCTACAAAATATTTGACATAAACATCAATGCTAACTCATTATATGTTAGTATGGAATAACTGATTACTTAACCAAAATTTTGATTTGATAAAACTTTATTATGAAATTAAAAATAAGCTTATTCTATTCACTTAAAACATTCAATAAAAATTTGTTTCCATTTATTTTATTACTTCATTTTATTATGCACCCAGCATTTCATTACAATCACTCTCAGTGTTGTAATTTAAAAAAAATAATTATTTAAAATAAATATTTCTTCATGTCAACTTCAATTAAATAAATCAACCACTAACTCACTTCAGCTGGCTGCAAATGCATTCTTTTTGGTTGCAGTAACGTAAGGTCACGTTTTTGAATTTTTCCATCATTCCCTAGGAGCTCAATTTTGTGTTCCAAATATGTTTCACCCTTACGTGTTTGATTCACGCGCATCACTGTGTGAATTCTTATGGGCTCTGCAGAAAATACACCTCATTTTCATTATTAACTAAATTATTTGCTTGTACAGCTTTAAACCATTCTTTATAAGCTGCTTCTAGTTATAAATTACGGTAATTGTCAGTAAGATATGAGAATTTTATTTGCAAATTTTGATGATTTTAGATAAGTAATAACTTATTTGTAATCAATAACAGATGGAGTGTAAAAAAAAAGTTATTAATTGCATCAATGTTTTTTTTCTTTTTCTTTTTACATTTTTTTTTACACAAATTTTTTTTTACACAAAAAAACACAAAAACATTTTTACACAAATTTTTTTAGTCTTATAATTACTTATTATTTATTCTCGAATAGATTTGTTATACTAATGATGCCAAGAAAAATTATTCAAATGCTTCTACATAGATTAACAAAGAATATTTGAAGAACCACACTTGCTCTTTCCATTTTACCTTTCATATTCGACAATATACTTTCTTTTGCATCGGTGATTTTCGGTAGTTTTGGCAATGCATTTTGTTGCTTAGCCTTCAATGACTCATTCGCAATTATAATGAATGGATGGAGAGTCAATTAATTAGTAATCTACTGGGTTTTTTAACCGATATAAAACAAAATCGGCTAATTGCATTCAACATGCATTCAACTGAATTTGTCGTATAAATTAAAAATTCTCATAAAATTTGCATCATATGTTATTGAAAACAGTATTAGGATTGCTTATTAAGTCACTAACTATTCACAGCATTTCAAGTCTCGGCGATAAATTATTTTTACGACAATAAAATAATTATAGAAGCAATTTTCATTGTATATAACTAATTATTTTATGTCTTTTTTCTGGAATAAAGTTATAATTCTACTGATTTTTACAGAAGTATTTAAGTTGTTCCAAAGAAATTACTACTCCAAATTCCAAAGTAAAGAAAAATAAATATATATCTAAGAATCACTTCAATAATACAATATAATAAAAAAATCCTAGTGACTGTTTTTAAAAACCTATCGAAAAAAAAAAACCTAATAATACAATATAATAAAAATCCTAGTGACTGTTTTTAAAAAACCTATCGACCGCATAAATGATCTTTTGAATTGGTTTTTTAAGAACAAACCATTAATTTTCTGCGCGAATCCACTGTTAATGATTTCCTAAGATGTATTCTATCAGCAAAATCTGAAATTAAACTCAAAATTTTCTGTAATTTTGGGAGAAGAAAAAAGTTTGTATAAGAAATAATTTTTCTTGTTTAATTTACTTACAATCTTTCGACTGTTCTTCAACCTGAAATAACGAGAACGACCGACATTAATACCAAATACTTTTAAAAGTTACTCAACATAATTTCGATTTATCGCCTAAATTTCTTAGAGTTCTTTTATACCATTCTTGACAATGAATTCGAAAAAGTAAGAGAATTTAAATTCAAAATTCAAAATTGCAGATTTTTTTCGGAAAATTAATTTTTTATTCAAAAAAGAAAAGGGAATATTCACTGCCATCTTCTGATGATGAATTTGTCTTCTTGATAAATTTTTATTTTTTCTGTAGCTGTGCTTAGCCTGAAAAAATCTATTTGAGTAATATCAGAGTAAATTTGATTTTGAATAGTATTTTTAATTTCTGCATTGTTTAATTCCGTTCCGGTATTTTAAAGAGAACAACAATAAAATTATTTTTTTTTTTGTTTTGAAAAATAGAGGCCTAATATGAAGTTAAATTTTTAATTCCATGAAGGAAGAGAGAATAGTCTCATTTTTGAAGAGATTTGAAGAGATAAACACGATATGCATGCACTGTTCGAGATCATTCAGATTCTGCTATGTTTTCCATATAAATACATTATCTGAACGCCACAGGAAAAAATAATGTCGAAAATCTATGATGTAATATTAATCCTTGGTGTCAAATTAATGAGTCAAATAGTATATCAGTTATTTAAAGCAAATTTTAATTAATTATTAAGAATATTGTAAAACTAGAGGTAAAAATTCGATCGAAGAAGAAAAATTTGTTGAAGAAAGATGAACTAATAGATGGTTATCAAGCATTTTATATTAGCAAAATAAATAAGATGTGTTTAAGCAAAGAATTTTATGATAATAGTATGAATGAGGCTGGTAGGCAAAAATATACTCCATAGACTGAAAATTATCGCAAAACTTATTAATAAATTAAAAGAAGTTAAAAAAGAAAAATGTAAATCAGGTATTTTCTGACTTAATGGCAAATAGTGGAAAATAGTATAACCTTTCCTCAGATGCATCCATTTTTTCTTGACTTATTACTGATATTTGATTACATTTTTGATTACATTTAAGCAGTTTTATCATTGCCTCAATGTTATCTGCTGAATTTTCCACCTGTACGACAATTAAATAAACCAATAGCATGCAACAAAAATTAAAGGTAGTCTTCCTCTTTTTTCTTGGACAAATGGTTTTTTTTTTTGATAGCGCTTCTATTTGTTTCCAATTATCATTCCAAACTTTACGGAAAATTATTATCCAGAATTAGTTTTAATGATTAATATTTTCTCCTCTATTTCAAATCTCCCCATATTAATTAGAACTTCTATTTAAACTTCTATTAGTTTTATCAACAAGTCTAAGCACTCATAATTAATCAGTGATAGAAGCTAATAAAAAAAAAAGGCTAATGGCATCCCATGTCATACATTGATCAAACGATGTGATAATGTTACGTATGTAAAAAGCACAACAAAGAGATCACGCAAAAATCTTCTGATGAATAAGTGATATTATTAAACATTTAAGATTCATACAAGACAGTGAGCTGAGAATATTGTATCCTTAACAAATGCGCTCTTATTGGATTCATCGGATAGCTTATGAGCTCTTTTAGTTTTTTGTTTTCTGGAAGACATTATTTGTTTGAATCTCTCTTTTGTCAAAAACCTGGAATTCTAGAAGTGTAAAGCTAACTCTAACAGTTATTAACATTTTTTTTAAAAAAAAAAGGAAATAATAAGAGAAAAACGATTGACTTAAACGAAATTTCATTCAAATTAATTTTTGATTTTTTTCCTTTTCGACAAATCAAATAAACTCTTTTAATGGAATGGAAGATATGAAGCAACTAAACTAAGCTTTATTATTCACAAATAATTACTTTTTTTACTCATAACTCTTGTTTTTAATTTCAGTGATAAAATAACAGGGAATTAAACTAGATGGGAAAGAAAAGATGTAGATTTAAAATACTAAATTGAAATTTTAAAAAAATCCTGAAAAAGATGTATGACTGGTGAACACTTTTAAAGGAATAAATTGTATGGATACCTTTCAGTATAAGAGAGAATGAACAGGATCTGTCGACAATTATCGCCCTTCTATCCTCAATAAATGAACAGGGACCTCAATAAAGTGAATTAGACTGTTTATTAAAATATCTTTTTTCAATCTTTATGAGCAATTTCGACTTTTTGGAGTACGATTTCTTTAAATTAGAAATTATAACTAAAATTTATTGACGGTAACCATACCATCCCACACACAAGTTAAATTTTGAATGTGCTGAATAGAAAAACAAATTAAATATTTCGAAGAATCAATATTAAATAACAAGCTCTGCAAAAATTGCCAATTTCAATCTACTAATTAATTTAAGTGATGAAATACCAACGAATTAAGCAAATAAAACGCCCGTTCTCAGTCTGTGTAAATATACAAAATGGAAATCAAGTTAATCCATCTTAATTTATCATGGGTAAAATTTGAAATGTTACCAAATAATTATCATAATGAGAAATTAGTTTGAATTTTGGTATGAAAACAGTGAACTGGGAGGTTAAAATTTTCACTGCTGCAGAGTATCATTATCATTGCGATATTTCAGCATGTCTCTTGATGTCTGTAGCGTGTTATTTCGCATACTTTATCATGCTGTGTCTTGTTTGTTTCACAGTCTTTTTTATCCGATCTTTTGCTATCATTCTCATTCCCTCTCTCTTTTTCAGTTGCTTCCCTTGTAATATTTTTTTTCGCTACTTTTACGACATATTTTTTTTTGGTTTTTTTATTAATCCGTGATTTTTTGTGAAAGAGTAAAATTCCTCGATGTCTATGAACTTCCTTCTTACAGTAGTTCCTCCGCTGCCTTTTATTTCGTGGTGTTTCTCTTTGCTAATTCTAGATCTTCAATTCTTCCTACGTACATCATTCCAGATTCCAGAATTCCAGATATCTGCTCATACTTGCACTCACATTTTTTTAAACATCTTACTCACTGTATCATGCGCTATGTATTTTATTACATCCGTAAAAATCATACTTCTATAAACTTGTGAAAATTTCATTGTGCAATGATTTCAAGATATCAGACAGGATATCAGCCATGTCTAATAAAGATTTAACTGTTGCGTGTCGAACATGTGAAATATCGCATGCCAAGTGCTTATAAATCACCTATTGGTACCTTTTATGTTTATGAAGATCGGGTTGAATGGTTGGACAACGCTTGGGATGAAAAACTTGTCGTCCTTTTCAGCGATATTAAAGGTAAGAATTTCGCTAGAGATGCGTTATTGAAGTGCTTCGAATAGCTAAGAAAGTTAGCTGATAGACCAAATCAGAAGAAATATGGTACGGGATTTAAATAAGTTGCTGCTTTAAAGGATTAAAAATTTTAGTGTTTTTTTTTTAATTTTTCCTTTTTTTACCCAAGCAAAGAACATAATTTTGTTCTAAATTTTCGAAATTGGATTTGAAATACAAGATATGCTTTTTTATGTAGACTATGCATTTTCCTTGTTATTTATCAACACCTCAGTATTTCATCCTTTTCATTGTTTATGGAATGCTTTCTGGATTCCAGGACAACGAATATCGCCACCAAATAAAACAAAAAACACAGCTCCAGATATGTAAACATAATGAAGAACAAGCAACATTTGTTTTCGTTAATCCACTTTTGAAGGAAGCAAGTTTTGATTTGTTATTATTCATGGTAGACTTGGAATTCGAATTAATAGCTATTGTGCATGAACATCTATGGTTTCATGATTTTGTCTCTTTAAAATGTATTCATCAGCACGTTATTAGTCTATTAGTTGTTTGTTTAATCTGTCAAATTCATGAGACTTTTTTGTATGAAGGTTTTCCATATTACATGTGAGAAGAATATCATATATTCTTCAGGTGCATGTTAAACATCGCGATTTGGTAAAAGAAATATTGCAACAGGTTCTTATACGTCATAGATAAATTGTTAGTCAGGTAAATGTGCTCTGGTTTACTTTAAATCATAGACTTTCTTTTAGAAATTCCTGATATTCGATTATACAACAGCCGAAACTTTTTGACTGATGAACTCGATGCTTATCATATTTACTTTTAGAATATTATACAATCGTTAAAGTACAATAAAAAAAAAAGCTAGAAGCAAAGAAGAAGATTTTAGAGCGCAACAAATTGCAAGAAATATACAAACATTTGGTTGCATCGAAATTGATATCTGCTCAAAATTTTTGGAGTGAATGTTATCAAAACTTGGTTAGTTTGGAACTTAGTAAAAGTCAAATTCTATCATCATGTTGTTGTGTTTCCATTTGAGACGCTTAATTTAATCAGTTTTGTCTAATTTAACTTATCTTCTTGCATTGAATGTATAAATTCACCAATATATTCTTGTACTAAATCTACACCGAAAAAAAATCCTATTCTTAAACATGATCGTATCTCAAATTTTGTTATTCTTAGAAAATCAATGGACTTTTCAATAGCTATTTATTTGTTATAATTTGGTGAATGGATTACTATCCTCCAAGGTGTACACTTACAAATGCTTAATTCAGAAGGATGTAGACGCAGCAAAATGTAGACGTAGCAAATTGGAAAACAAAAATTTCTAATTGTTGATATTCTGATTTTTAGCATTTTTTCAGTTTAGTTTTCATTTGCAGAAAATGATTGCAGGATTTGGAGGCGATTCGGATAGTGATTATGAGGATCTCTTAAGAATGGCCAGTGTTGTTACAAAAAGCTAAAAACATTACAGAATTGACCGCAACAGATTTAGTTATAAGCAATCCATGATTCTGTTGCATTTTTGGATGTGTTTTCCACCGACGAATCCTGACATGGATGAAAAAGTTAGCTTATTTTGCAGGATTGTTTCCGTTCACTTTTTTGTCATAGTCAGAAATCATTATTTTATTATTTTACTGAAATATGATTTTTCCTTTTTTGAAATTTTGTTTTCAAAAGATAAAGAAAAGATTGTATTTTCAATGAATGACTCAAATCTTTTCGTTTTATTAACATCATTTAACAATTATTATTCAGTTGTATTATATCCTTTTCATAATGGTAAATTATTTTTATCATAATCTATTGAAGTTTAAAATATTTTAAATTATTTTAAATTACGGTATGAATTTTTTCAATTTCATAGTTTCCTGCAGAAAAATGCTGAAAGTTTTGTTATTGCAACCATTATTGATAAAATGTGCATTATTCATCATTATAAAAATAAGACTACGAAAGTTTGCATATAATTTTTATACATTATTGAAATTAAATAAGTCCTTCGATACTGTAAATAAGGCAAATTTTTAGCATGTTGATATTCCGCAAACTGTGGCCGATATTCGCCATGATTGCGACGTCGTTCTTTCAATTTACGATAGCCAACATAACCAGCAGTAATGAGACTAAGAAGCATAACCTGAAAAGTTATCAAATTTTACAATAATTCTTAATTTTGTCTTATCTGATGAATCTATTTTTCGTCGATTCATAGAAAATTTTCAAGCACCAAAATATTTGGGTTTTATTATCTCCTATAAGTCGCACTCCATCATTCGTTAATTTCTGAAAAAGCATGAGATGACAAATTCCAAATTCCAAAATTCAAAAGAAATTTGTTATAACAAATTACAGATTTTCTTTGAATTGATGCTTCATGTTATTGCTTTTACTCGTCACTACAATAAATTTTGCATTAAGTGTCCGTCTGATATATGATTTACCTTATTTTGTAACAAGGTAATTTCTCCATCATATTAAGACAAAATTTGAAAAGCATTAGCATTAACTGCCTTGAATTTGTATTCTTAAAATATTTTTCAAATTTCTCTTTTTGCCTACACCTTTCGTCCTTTCTCTAATTGAAAGTAATAATGATGATCATCATCAAGTGAAAATTTAGAAATTTTACCACCAAAAAATTAATCTGTTCATTTCAAATTAAAAAAAGAATACTTACCAGCAAAATAACCACAATGGTACCTGTTTTATCGGCATTCCAATCATCATCAGATGCTTCAGTTGTACTTTTAAAATAGTCGTTGTGGATACTGTGGCGCTATTTACTTCAGACATTCCCAATGATGCAATTAGCACTAGCACAGCTAGCTGTAGTACAAGATAAAGTAGCGGTAATAATTTGTAACACTAGCGATATGCAAATTGAGCAGCATTCGGACAGCAATAAGGTGCTGTCAGTAATTTCCGGAATAATTTCTGGAATCAAATATTTTTTTTAAACTTTTTAAATCCTTTAACATTCTTATATTGTATACAACATAAATAATAACAGTACTTTGCATTTCCTTTTTTTTTAAACTCATGCATAAATACGCACAATTTCAAATATTGTTTTTTCTTTTTAATTTGGGTGTTTTTTTTAAAACGAGTAGTCGAATATTTTTTTCGACAGTATCGTTTTCTTCAGCAAATCTCAACAAAGATAGTTTACTTTTGTTTCATTACAGTCATCAATAATCATCAGGAAAATGACAATAGTTTATTTTGCAAAAGTTTGTAAACAAAAAAATTACAACAATGAAATATCCTAAAATCCTACTAATTATCAATGATTTCATTAAATAAATTTCCTTTTCCAATCTGTTGAAGTTTTTTTTCAAGAATTTTGCTCAAATAATTTTTAAATGCAAGAAAAAAAGCGTTAGTACAAATTAAAGCAGTAATCGTTTCAGTATTGATATTTCGAATCTACTTTTAATGGATGTTTGCAGAACCGATAATTCACATTTTACTCTTTAATTTCAGCACTTTACATAATTTCACAAACAAATTTGTAGATATTAAATTTTTTTTTCTATCAAACAAGTATAATTTCAAGAAAGATATGAGTGATAAAGTTTGAAATGATTCTTTTTTTTACAACGTTTCTAAGAACTCTTAGAACATGAGAAAAAAACGATGATTTAATTTATGTCATAATAAGATTTGCAGAATTTTATAATCTCAAACATTTTTCATTGCTAAATTTTTTGTGTAAGACATGGAATGTAAATTCTTTTCATAGTCCTTTTGAATCCATTCCTATAATAATTTGAAGTAAATCAATTCCTGTAACAAAAAATTTAATTAACCAATTTGTATGTGCGCAGTTATGTGATACTCTCTTTGAATAAATAAAACTATTTTGCCAAATTTTATGGCTCATTGAAAATGGCAAAATTTGAAATACTGTTATATATAAGTGAAAAACGATTTTTAAAAGATTGAAAAGTAAGTGAATAAGCGGTAAATTTCACAAATCAGAAAGAGAAAAAAAAGAGGAATGAAAAATGTAGATGCACAGAGTGATGTATATGAAATACATGAATGTTTGTTTGCATTAAAAAAGAATTTTAATAAGAAAGTTTTAAATCATTGTAATTTACAAAATGACTAAGGATTATTAATCGCAAGAATAATTTATATCTTTCTAACATCGAAAAAAAAGCAAACCAGTGAATCATTTCGTTGATCAACTTCTAATGAATGATTCATATTAATATAAACAATAAAAATCGTATTATAATTTACTAGGAACATTTTTGATTACTACTTATCAGTATCATTTCACAATTAACCAATTTTATCACTGTAGCAATATGATAAGTGAATTATTATTTAAAGATTTTACTTTTGATTATTTCTCATAGACAAATAACGATGTCGTCAAATGTTCAACGATTCATTTCTAATGATTCATACAAAAAGAGAATTGTATTTCAAGGATACGCTAATAGCGACAAAAAAAGAGGAATTAATGACATTTTGCATCCATTTTTATTTTCTTCAATCATATTTATTACATTTCACGTCACTGTTATAGTATAATATGAAAATGAGAAACTGTTTAGAAATAACGGAATAAATGATGTTAAGAGAGGAAAGATGAATATATTGAAATTTATAGCAATTCAAAAAAGTTTATAGTTTAGTACCTGACAATTCTTGCTAACCTTTAAAGAAGATTTTTGTACATCAATAATAAGCTGTCACGTAGTAATTATCATAGACTTATTCTCTATATTATTAAAAATATTTATGTTATCAAAAATATTGTAGAATTTTATTTTTTGTCAATCTCAAGCACTATCGTTATTAAAAATTGCAAATAATTTAGACTGAATTTGAGAAAATTTCCGATAACTAACGATTTAATTTTATTCCTAAAATGAATAGGAAATGTTTATCATGACCAGAACTTTTTTAAATGATTAAAATATTTTAGACTTTACAAACAGACTTTACAAAAAAACATAATTACAAACAAAAGATAACCAACAATTTTAAAATAAATATCACAGTTTAATGAACCAATAGTTAAAATGAAATGATTTTTTAATTTTGATTAGCACCTAAACATTCATCTGTTCATATCGTTGTACTCACATCGTTTTATAATTCATTTTGTTTGAAGTATAGAGATTTTAGCTATTAAAAATTTATGAAATTCAAAAAATGAAAAAGAAAAAAGATATAAATAAAATCTAACCTTTTTTTTTGTATGAAATTATTCATTGTAAAATGAAAAGGAATGAAATGAAATTAGAAAAGAGAACTGTAGACCAAGTGCTAAAGGAAGTGAAATTGAGTCGAACGAAGTAATTTCTGCGCTTTAGGATATTTCATCCATAACTGATTAGTAGGAATAAATCATATATTTTGAATAGATATGACAAATGTCGCATTGGTATTTATGAAGTGACAGAAAACTGGCCAGCCTGGATGGAAATATGCAAATGAAAGAAGTCACTCCCTCATTTCTTTCCTTCCACACATCTTTATTTGGCGCAATCTTCTCTTTCTTGCATCATTGCATGTCATGTCAAAATTGACTAGAAATTACCACATACATTTCATTTTAATCGAACAATCTGATAGCTCATTCAAATGTTACTTATTTCTTCTTTCCCATCCAGTAACCTTCCATTTTCCTCCGAATTATTGTCACAAAAATTTGA